AGCATGTCACATCGTGAGAATGGCTACTCATGACTATTTTGTCTGGATTCAGTCATGACATGACCTATGGGTGGTCACAAGTGACCATTGGCTGAAGTTGACCATGGTTGACTTTTTGGGTCAAACTACGGTTTTAAAGGGTGTAGGTTGATAGGATATGCTTTACTGCTATTAGGTGCCTTGCTGATCCTGTCGACCCTGTGTATGAGAGTTGTTGTGCTTCTGGCTACTATTCTCAAGGTGAGTCTTGTCATTATATTTGTCTGTGTGGTAGTTGTTATATGTGAGTTGGTTGCTGATAACTCCTGGGTTGTTGAGAGTCTATGGGACTACTGATAGTCCCCAAGGTTGCTGATAACCTGTAATGTGTGCTGTTAATCCACAGAACGTGTTGTTAGCCCACTAGAACTGTTGATAGTCCTCAGGGTTGTTGATAACTCATAGTTAATTATTATGATGTGATGTATGTGGTATTTTTTGGGGAACTGACTAGGATTTGTACTCACAGTTGAGGATTAATTATTTTGCAGGTACTTATCGGGTGGTGAAGGCGTGACTGTATACACACATCAGCAGTTTGATGATTCGAGATTCCACAATGTTCTCATTATAATTCTGATTTCTAAATAATAGTTTTTGAACAAATTTCTGAATGTGGTTTTATTAAAAATGAAAAACTTAGCCTGGTTTTCTTGGGATGTTACAAAGTCACATGTAGTGTTTAGACAAGCCATTTAAAATGATTTTTTTTCCATATATTCAAACTAATCCTGTATCTTCTAGTATAAAGTATTCTGGTAAACAATTGGAGGAGCACATGTAAAAAAGTATAGTCAATATTCTTTCATAATCGAATTTTTAGCATATTCTTTAAAAATGAGGAAGACTAATATTCTTTCAGGATAAAGAAAGGTGATAGTCTCCCTATGCAAACACATACAAGAGTAAGGTTTAGAATCGAATTTAAGAACAAGTATATTCTACCAAGAATTACCTTATTACGATAATACATCACATTTCATAAGAATATTCGGAATCAAGTCAATTATTTGGGCCAATGAAAAAGATCAAATGTATTTGTTCAAGAATTGTATATTAAAGAATCCTATTTTTTAAGAATTGTATCCATTTTCTGATGTCATTCTATTAGAATACGTACAATTATATTAAAATGTATAAGTCATTAATTTTGCAAGGATATATAGGAATTTGTATTTAAGTTCGGTTGTGTATGATTATATTCGAATTTTTTTATTATTCAATAACATTCAAATATAATAACATTCTAACAGAACATTATTACAGAATATCATTCTAACAAAATAATATTCTGACAGAATAAAAATGGTTAGGCTTATAAATTATGTTAGAATTTAAATTGAATTAATATAAAAAAATCAGATTTTTTTAATTAAGAGAATTAATTATCCCTTAACATCTAGAAATTTTCCTCTTTTTTTATTTTTTTTTCTTAATTGACTAAAATACTATTATAGTGAATTAGATGGTGTTTCCTGTTATTTTTAATTTACTAATATTTATTAATCACTTTCTTAAAATAACTAAAATGACTTTTCCACAATCAACCTTACATTCACATAATACATAACATGTATACAATAACCTAGCACCCCCCCCCCCCCCACACACACACACACACATACACGCATATATATATATATATATATATATATATATTATATATATATAATATGATGGACGTGCGTGTATAAAATTAAATAGACATATTTTTTGTTTCTTATTTGTAAAAGTTGTTTTAAAAAATCTAAATATATCAACATACATAATTGTTTGTTTTCTATAAATAGACATTTATATCAATTTTAAAAAACATATTTTTCTTCAAAATTTTAATTTTACATAGTTCGCAGATCGCTCCAGGAACGAGGATCAGGGCCGTTCCAAATATATTTTGGGCCCAGGGCGAGAGAAAAAAAAATGGCCCTTAAAATACACAAATGTCATCAAGTTTTTTTATAATAATTAAAAGAAAATTATTTGTACTATCTTCTAAATATAACAATTTTCCATAAAAATTTTGGACCCCTTTAAAAGATGGGCCCTGGTCGGTCGCCTCTATCGCCCACCCTCTGGAACGGGCCTCTTGACACAGATCCAAGTTCACCGGTCTCTATTGATAGTACTCATCAGGACTTTAAAAATAAAGAGTATTCTTCAACAAGTGATGCAAAGAGACAAGTTAGAAAAATTTCAAGGACCATTTGTAATAATATCTTTAGAATTTTGTCGTATCGAATAATGAGTTTATGCTTTTGTAACTTTTTGTAACGATCAAATAATGTAGGATAGAATAATTATTATACGCATCTTGTAAGTTGTAACTTTCGATAACATGTCAAGGTTAGATTTTTTGTATATACACCACCCTTTTCCTATAAAAAGGATAACACATTGTAAAAAATCATCAAGCACTCATAATAGAAGAAAATTTTGGTGTTATCTCCTTCTACATGGCTCTCTAAATAATGTATTTACGATTCTCTTAGCTTATCTCTTACATTCCTAGTTATTTTCCTTCACTTAATATTATCTCTCTTCTAGTATTTAAAAAAAAAACCTTTTGAAAAAAAAACGTCATACCCCTTAATTGGTATAAGAGCATGGAATGTTCTATGATCTAAAAGACTGAGACAAGATCGATTTTATGGCAGCGTGTTATGCTTAAGACCACCTTTTTATCGAGAATATATATATATATATATATATATATATATATATATATATATGGGAAAGTTCAAATGAGAACAATTATAAAATAAACGTGAAAAGAAATATGGGCCACATATTTTTTTGTCGCAAAACCTTCACGCGTAACGATGCGACGGAGGAACTTAATATTCATATGTGAATATAAACCACCATTACCACAACTAACACAACCACCACCAGGATACATATTTTTTTCCGCAAAACCCTTCAACGTACCGGCGCGACGGAGGAATGTAATATTCATATGTGAACATAAAGGTAAGTATATTCTCAAAGATTTCAAATCTTCCGATTAAGGGCTCTAGCGTATTGGGACAATGGAACAGATAAAATGCATATATGAATAATTATATTCATATATGAATACATATGTATATTCATATATGAATAATCACTTGAAAATTTGCATATACTTATTCATATATGAACATTACATTCATCTGTTGAGCAGATACGCTGGAGGGTTTTCTGGTAAAAAGAAATATGTGGCCCACTGGTAGTGGTTAATATTCACACATGAATATTATGATCCTTCGCCGTGTTATTACGCAGGAGAATTTTGCGAAAAAAAAATAAGTGGCCCAAATTTGTTTTGGGTTCTAATTTATATAATTGTTCTTATTTCAATATATATATATATATATATATATATAATATATATATATATATATATATATATATATATATATATAGGGTTAGGTTCATGTAAGATCATCATATTTTGTGAGACATGAGGATGCAATCTTACCAATTCATTTTGGAGATAAAAAAATTATTTTTAAAATGCAAAACAAATGAAAATTTTTGAAAAAAAAAATTAAATATTATTTTCATAATTTGGTTTATCCAAAAAAATAAAAAATAAATAAATAAATAAAATTACTGTTTTTTTCAAAATATATATGAAAAAATCTAATAGAATATTATACCGTAAATATTTAAATTGTTTTTTTCAATATATATATATATATATATATATATATATATATATATATATATCTATATATATATATATATATATATATATATAATTCGTCCATCCGAAGCATTAAACGGGTTGTTTAAAAGCACAACCATCTTTTAAGATTTTGTCTTGTAATATCTCAGAAGTTAGTTTTGTAAATATTGTTGCAAGTTGATGTTATGATAAATATTACATTGGTTGTAGATATAAAAAACTTCCGAATTAGAAAAAAAAAAAAAAAAAAATATTCCTTTTAGTGGAATATCATAAGTGTAAACATCGTTTTTAATTTTTAATTTCTAGTGATCGTAAATTTTTGATATAAAATTACGATATTTTGTGAAAATATCAGTAGAGAACTATATACACGTTTAATATCGTATTTCGTTCATTATGTAATGTTTGATTTTTTATAGACTAGCTTCTAGAGTTATATAAAGTTGGGGTGAGGAAGACTACCAAAATTTCCGATCGGAACTGGTACCAATAGAGAACTAGAACTGTTTATATTAATATCAAATGATGATATTCTTAAATCAAGAAATTTAGGATTTAGTATTGTCTATACCGATGCTAGTACCGAAAGCTGGTATTACACTGATAATATTAGTTCAGTTCGATACTCAATATCGTTTTTTTCACCATTTTAATACTCAATATTATTGGAATGGTACGAGTAATGCTCATCGCAGAGAGAAATTAAAAGTAAAACAGAAAAGGGTTTTTTTTTTTTTTTTTTCGCACTCATTTAAGTTTATAAACCCCGTTAATAGTTAAGGGGTCTTTCGGTTTGACTCATATTCCGATCAAAAACTTTATTTCATTAAAAGGATTCAATCCTTTACTTTTTAATGTGACATTCAAAGAAAAATATAAGTCTTCAGGATTTTTATCCAAAAGGTCAATTAAAAAAATGAAAACTTGGATTATAAAATTGTGAAACAACATTTTAAAATTGGATCTATCCTTCCAATTGAATGAGTATGAATAAAGAATCCATTGATGACGATAGAAAAGTATATTTTTAATTTCTAATCGTAACTAAATCTTCAATTTTTGTTTGCATTTGTAGCTAACAAATTGAAGCAAAATAGTTATTAAAGAATATCTTTAGTTTACTAAAGACATCAACATATTAGTTTAGCTCCGTGGAAATACAATCATTTTCCTTAGGGCCCTCTCAAATAAAAATAAAAAACCAAGTAACTAGAAAGATTGTTAGAATTGCCTTCTTCTAGAGGGGTCATTTTATAAATGAACATTATTTATTACATTAATTATTATATTAATTATCACATTGCATTACGCACCGGCAAGTAAAGAAATTTTTACAATGTCCTGAAGCTCCTATTCCAAAGGAAGATTTGCATGTGTTATAGCACTTAGAGTCCGTGCAAAACCCTGGTATTATTTTTTTGTCTTTGTAGCATAATTCAGCATTGCATCCTGTAATCACACAAACACATTAAAATTTTGATCGATATGTTATTGCCTAATCACAAAATTTTAAAAGTTATTTTATAGCTACAAAATTATACTTTTCAAATGTACAAGGGATAAGAATATGTAGACAATCATACAGACTTTAATTTTGTAATTATCCGTTGTTAAAAAAATATGTAAACCATCATTATATATAATTTCAATAACAAGTTCCTAAACTATGTTTGCCGAGCACTGAAACCTTGTTTATGAAGTAGCATTTGGATACATTCAACTCAAAATTTATACACTAGATGAGACTTTAAAGATATGAATAGTTAGTATTCCAAATTTTGATTTTAGAATTGAAATTTTTAAAAGGAAAAATACCAATAGCAAGGAAGCTCATAAGCACAAATACCGCAACAACAAGGGAGATATTCTTCATGGTTGAATTCTAAGATGCGATTTATAAATATATTTTGACCACACAGAAGTGGAATTTATAATCATCCAAATCATTCGTATATAAACAAAACATTAAATGACATTTGATAATTAATTATGAGAAATATTGTTATAAATGTTTACATTTAATATAAATAGCTAAATCTAATTACATAAATTATGAAAATATATTATCATATCATACTATATTATAAAGAAAACATTTTTTTTTTCACCACATTCATTTGAAACTTCCATTTTATTTCACCATATTAATTTAAAACTCCCATGACTTTTCAATTTCTTTCTAATAATAAATATAAGTTGGTTAATAAAATTAAATAAATATCAAACCTAAAGTGTAATCATATATAAACTAAAATTCAATATTAAAATAACATCTTTACTTCTACTTATAAAGTTATGTTTTGTTAACTTTTAACATATTATACTTAATTTATTAGTTTTAATATATTGTTGGATGTAAACCATTATCATTTTAAAGATACAATTTTGGAACAATTTGTATAAAATATTTAAATTATTAATTTGAATATAACATTATAGGGTCAACTTAAATATAAATTTTAGTTTAACTTAAACAACCCAAAAAAATATTTTTTAAATAGTTAAAAAATCATAAATATACTAAATTTCAATTTTAAAATAATATATGTAGTTCTACTTATAAAGTTATGTCTTTAACTTTTAACATATTATACTTAATTTATTAGATTTAATATGTTGTTGTATGTAAAACCATTATCAATTTAAAGCTACAACTTTTGAACAGTTTGGACAAAACACTTAAATTTTTAATTTAAATATAACATTACAATGTCAACTTAAATATAAATTTCAGTTCCACTTAAAAAACCAAAGAATATTTTGTAAATAGTTAAAAGTGATAAATTGTAGTGATAAATGCAAAAAACTAAATTGTAATCTCAATTTAACTAAAATATTTCCTAAAGACATTTTTATGATCGTTAAAAGTTTTCAAATAAGTAGCTTAAAATAAATTACAAGAACAATAGTTAAAAATAACTCTATATAAATAATTATATTGTTACCCTTAAAATCAAAAAACAATGTTTGATGTTTTAAATAATTATAATGATAGAAATTAAAACATTAAGCAAATAAATTTTAAAAAATTAATTAACAATAACAACAACTATAAATAACATTAAACCATATATTATATTTAATTTTATTCATGTGTAACTCGCGGATAGAAGTCATTCAAGCGATTGAAATTATGCAGTTATAATAGATGTATATGTTATCATATAATTCAAAATAATCAATATATTATATCAATTTAGTATACATGAATTATTATATCAAATTTAACAACAACGTTATTGCTATATTTAAAAAAACATATATTTGTAAAGACTTCAACTATATAAGTGTTTCTGCGCAATGCGCATGTAGTCGCCTAGTTCGTATATAAAATTATGAGTAGTTTGTTTTAGGCTAAGGGGTGTGGTGTTTGTTTTACCAATGGTAAAAAGGTGTCACGTAAACGTCACATCAACTTTCATAGTTATTATAAGTTTCACATATGGACTAGGGTGTGGTAAATGGTTTGCCTATGATTTTCTTTTTAATTAAAAAAAAAAGAACTTTTTTAAAAACCATACTAAATTTAAAAATTACATTTTAGAAATCCTAAAAATAAAATATAACATGAAACTAAAAATTACATTAAAAACCTAAGAAAAAACATGAAGTGAAAAATTATAAAAAAAAATAATAAAATAAAATAAAATAAAAACCTAGATAAAAACGTAACATCGAAATTTCATTTGCGGTTTAGCTTATATTTTTCGCGAATCGACTACTTCACCACTTTAGCCGCCTCTTGATCTTTGGGGTCGAGGTGTCTCGCATCTTGCATTAACAACGAATACTCGGTGAATCAGACGGTTTCAGCCATATGCATGCCTCTCCAAAGTTGAATTCAGTTGTGCCATTTGTGTCTTCATTTCTTCCGATCTAGCTGACCGTTTGGTTCCAACTGAAGAATTTGAAGATGTCGCTTTCCCTTTTCCTTTTCCTTTTGCTCAAGCTTTTGTTTTGTCCCTTCCCATTGGAGGAGGAGGCGGGCATATTTCTTCGATGTCGTCGTTATCATCATTAAGATTAACGTCTACGTGACCATCCAATGAGACTTGTTGTGAGCTCGAATATGAAGATGTTCGGCTTCTTTTTGGCGGATTAGCAATTTCTTCATGTCTTGCAAGTTCCCGCCACCTAATGCTTCTTTTGACAACTTCCCACACATGAATAAATTTAAAAGGCTTTAGCATATCATCTTGGAATGTAGCATGTGTTTTTTTCAACAAACTCGCTTCACTTTCTCTGCTAGCTCATTGCTTTTCAAAGTTTGTGTAAATTCCATTCCATTGTGTGATGAATTTGTTCATAAGATTCCATTTGGAGTTACATTGATTGGAGGTCCGATATCTGGATTTCGACCCATTCCCTTACAAAATCGCTCCGTGATACGAAACCAAAACTGATCATGATTTTGACCCTTTCTCGTGCCACCATGTTCAGATATGTCGACCCATGCCTTTGTTAACTCAACTTCTTCTTTTTGTGACCATCTTATCGGATCAGCCTTCCCTTTCTTTTGTTGTTGAGGTTGTTGTTGCTGTTCTTCGTGTTCGTAATCAAGAAGTAATTCGTTTGAAGGTGTGAATGGCGGTTGGGATGGAAATTTGGGTTGAGATGGTTGGGTTTGAGGTTGAGATTTAAAATGAAATTTTTAGGGCATTTGGAATTGTGAATAATAGCTAGGAACACCATCCATTTGTGGCCGGTAAGGTGGTGGTGATGACGGATCTTAGCCGAAAAGTGCGAAAGGGTTGTTAACATTTTGGTTTGGAGCATTTTGTTTGGAAGAGTTTGGATTGTTGGAAGACATTTTCAATGAAAAATGTTTGTTGAGAGTGTATAGTGTGGCTAAATCTTGGAAATTTGGTTTGTATATATAGTAGATTAAAAAAACGAAAATTGCCAAAATAGCCATTTTCGACTGTTGGCAACGTTCCCTTCCCCAAAATCCCTCAAACGGTCACAAATTCAAAAGTTCACCAACGGTAGAAGGCCATCGGCGGTAAAACCACCACCACGGTGCGGTATTCACCGGCGGTGAAAGGGTGACACGTCGAATACCTCCGGTGACACCTTCACCACACTGTGGAGCCTTATATATTTATCTGAGCTGTTAGTTTATATTTATCTATTTATTTGAAATATTAGTTTTTTTATACAACTGAATTTCTTAGAGATTTGTGTTTGACAAAACCAGGTGGTGGCTGGTAGCTCATAATTATAAATTGTAGCTTTTATTTAATACTTGACGAATTCTCACGCGTTGCGCAACGTATGTTAAAAATATATTGTTAAAATATTGAAATATATATGTTTAAAATGGTTATGTTATTGACATTAACTTTGAGATAATATATTTACACTAATTTTTATATATAATCACAACTAGGTGCGAGACCCGTGTATTACACGGATTGATTAAAAAGAATATCAAAGTGTAAATATGAAGAATTTTTTAAAGTAAAATTTTGAAATAAATAGAAATATTCAACTAATGAACAAATAGAATCAAAAAAAATCATTATTGAGAATATCATCTAGAATATCAATAATTGTCTTGTTATCATTTAAAGCACCGACCTTTCATTCTCGTATATCTAAAAGCTAGTTCGCAAATGTTGTTGTTTCTTCAATATTAGATGTTTGAACACTTAATCATATGTTTTTTTTGTTAATCTTAGAACTTTCCATTTTGACTGGATGTAGGAAGAACTTAATGAAGCATTTTCGTTAAAAACTCATGTATAACATGGGTTGATTTAAAAAAATATATTAAAAACTAAGGATTAAATATTCACGAATTTTAAAATGATATATTTCAATAGGATTTAACTGAAATAATGATTTATTATGTATTTTTTTAAAATAAATTCTTGAAGTGTTAACCATAGTTTGCAATAACTTCAACCAAATCACTATAATTTTTTAAAGTGTATTTAGTGGTTAGAAGTTAGTATCACCAAGTTAGTAGAGTTCGCCAACATCCGAATTATTACTCACGACCTCCAATCTAAGATGCAAAGCCTCTATTAATCACCTTCAATCTAAGACGCAAAGCCTCTATTAATCAGGCTAGTCCCACATTGGCAACCAAATCACTTTTGTAATCATGAAATGAGTAATTAGTTGGTACTTTTAATAAAAACATATCCTTGAAGCATTAATCATAGTTTTTCATAACTTAAACTAAATCACTCTATTAATCAATAAATTACAATTCGTCATTTCACTTCTCATATCATCTTCATATGGTGGAAAATGTGCTTACGTATTGGCATCAAGTATTAAATGAATTATTTGCATTATCAAATTCACATAAATATTCACCTTTTTTACCTTATAAATGAAATTATCACTGATTGTAAAAGTAAAAATTCAATGATCCACAGACTTATTGATCCTTGTCATTTGAATAAACAGCCAAAAGGCCTGAAAATTCATTTTTTTAACCTAAAATTAATATATATGATGTAGCCAACATTAATTATGTCTTATTTGGTAAAGAATCTACAAATATAAAAGTACATATGTGATGTCTCGTACAATAAGTTAATCCAAAATTTTGGGTTTTTGATATGTTGAATGAAATTACATACAATTAGTAAATATGGTAACTCTGAAGAATTGATCATTAAAGTTTAAATAATAAGATCTTTTAACTTATAAATGTGCCAAAAAAATTATGAACCTTAAAATAGTGATGTTGTAAATATGAATTATAAACCGAAATATACATTAAAATATGTGTTTTCTATATTTGTCTAATAATTAGTCCTTTAACATGTAACATTAGAAAGCACAAATTTACATAGAAATGAATTCACATATACAATCGAGAATACAACAATAATTATTTTGCGAACTTTTTTCATTTTCTTTTTAAGATTCGCTGAATTTATTATCACATTTAATGTATTTTAATACATCTTATATATTTTTTAAGATTCTTTGCATTTATTATCACATTAAATTTATTTAATACTTTACATATATAAATTTAGTATTATGTGCATATCAATTGAATTTAATTCAAAAAAACCGCAAAATGACATGTGGATTTAAATTTATTCAAAAAAGTCACAAAATTAGATGTGACAAATTTAATGAGAAGATGACATTTGGCAAAAATGATCTTCATTTATTAGGATAGATTATACTTTGAACAATAATATTCATTGACATCAACACACCTTCCTCATTAATAGAATTAAATATAATTATTTATTTAGTATGATTTTTAACAATTGTTATGATTGATTAAATTATATTTTTACTTATGCGATTATTTTCTAATTTCAATAATGATGTTCATTTAAAATACAATTTATTTGTAGCTAAATGTAATTTATAATTAGATGTTATTATCATTTAAAATTATTATCCATTAATTTAAACCACTTGTTATTAATAATAAGTTAAAAGAAAACTTTTAAGAAACACTTATTATTATTATTATTAAAATGTGAAAGATACACTAAATAATAAAGTGATAAGATAGACAAATTGCATTTCAAAAGAGACTTGTATTGATAATATGAGATATCCATGATTTTTATTTTGATTTTATTATTTATAATTATTTTTCATTAATTTTAAAACCACTTATTATTATTAATAAGTGAAAGAAACTTTTAAAAAGCACTTAGTATTATTATTAAAATGTTAAAATATACTAAAATATAAAGTGATAAGATAGACAATTTACATTTTAAAAGAGACTTACATAGATAATATGGATAATATGATATACATGTGATTTTTAATTAATTATTGCTTTGAAGCAACACGAACATACAAACATATATACAATAGTTAATTAAATATTATCTATATCACATTCCATAACATATGATCGATAACATTAATCGAATCTAATTTACATTAAAATTTCAACCACAACATACAATGATATTCTTAAAAGAATATTTAAACCAAGAAAAATATAAAAAAGAATTAGTATATAACAAACTTACAAATTAAGAACTTTAACATAATAACATGGCTCGAAAATGGTCTAAACCCTCGCACCAACACAAAAACCTTTAAACTTGTTTTCTTTGTGAATTTTGTATGTGATTTCTGTTTGTGTGTCTACTCAAAGATATTGACATTTTTATAGTAGACTATCCATTAATTGCTTGTTAAACATATTATATAAGTTATAAAAGCTTTGAATTGTTAATCATTATTAAGAGACTTTTGAGTGATATTCATTCGAATTGGAGGTTTCAAATTAATATGGTTTAAGTAAAAATGCCTTTATTATAAGATTGTGGAAATATGAAAAGTTTGGAATTTCAAATTGATGTGGTGAAAGGAAAAATGTTTCCTTTATAATATAGTATGATTATTAATAAGTGAAAGGAACTTTAAAAAAAACACTTATTATTATAATTAAAATGTTAAAATATACTAAAATATAAAGTAATAAGATAGACAATTTGCATTTTAAAGGACACTTACATAGATAATATGGATAATATGATATATCCGTGCTTTTTAATTAATTATTGTTTTGAAGCAACACGAACATACAAACATATATACAACTAGGCGAATGCCCGCGCGTTGCGCATAAAGACCTATATAGTTGAAATCTTTACAAAAATATATTTTTTTAAATATAACAATAACATTGTTGTTAAATTTGATATAATAATTTGTATATTAAATTGATATAATATATTGACTATTTTGAATTATATGATAATATATACATCTATTATAACTGCATAATCTCAATCGTTTGAATGACTTCTACCTACGAGTTACTTATGAATAAAATTACATATAATATATGGTTTAATGTTATTTATAGTTGTTGTTATTGTTAATTAATTTTTTAAAATTTATTTGTTTAACGTTTTAATTTCTATCATTATAATTATTTAAAACATCAAACATTGTTTTTTGATTTTAAAGGTAACAATATAATCATTTATATAGAGTTATTTTTAACTATTGTTATTATAAGTTATTTTAAGCTACTTATTTGAAAACTTTTAACGATTATAAAAATATCTTTAGAAAATATTTTTGTTAAATTGAGATTACAATTTAGTTTTTGCATTTAGCACTACAATTTATCACTTTTAACTATTCATAAAATATTCATTGGGTTTTTTAAGTGGAACTGAAATTTATATTTAAGTTGACACTGTAATGTTATATTTAAATTAAAAATTTAAGTATTTTGTCAAAACTGTTTAAAAGTTATAGCTTTAAACTGATAATGGTTTACATACAATAACATATTAAATTTAATAAATTAAGTATAATATGTTAAAAGTTAAAGTCATAACTTTATAAGTAGAAGTAATATATTATTTTAATATTGAAATTTAGTTTATTTATGGTTACACTTTAGGTTTGATAATTATTTAACCTTATTAACCAAATTATAATCATTATTAGAAAGACATTACAATTTATGA